TCTACCTGCCTCCACCTCCTGAGTGTTGGGATTACAAGCATGAGCCACCTCATATGGCCATTTCATACTTTATAATACAATGTGACATTCCTCAGAAAACCTCACCATTACCTAGATTGTTTTACACACCTAAACCATCCATTTATGTCATATTTTATCAGTGGGGCATTCCTGCACCACATTATTCCTTTTCCTAGTTTCGCTCTTGAAGTTGGTCAAAGCACTGGAGTTCTTTAGCCTTTCATCCTTTAGTACTGATAGTTGTCCAATACTTGGTTCATGAGAAATTAATTTATTTTTCTTTTTTTTTGAGATGGAATCTTGCTCTGTCACCCAGGCTGGAGTGCAATGGAGTGGTCTCGCTCACTGCAAACTTCACCTCCCGGGTTCAAGAGATTCTCCTGCCTTAGTCTCCTGAGTAGATGGGATTACAGATGCCTGCCACCATGTGGGCTAATTTTTGTATTTTTAGTAGAGACAGGGTTTCACCATGTTGGTCAGGCTGGTCTCAAACTCCTGACCTTGTGATATGCCTGCCTCAGCCTCCCAAAGTTCTGGGATTACAGGCGTGAGCCACCATGCCCAGCCTGAGAAATTAATTTCTTGGTTTTTTTTTTTTTTTGAGATGGAGTTTTGCTCTTGTTACCCAGGCTGGAGTGCAATGGCAGGATCTCTGCTCTCCGCAACCTCTGCCTCCTGAGTTCAAGCAATTCTCTTACCTCAGCCTCCCGAGTAGCTGGGACTACACGGTGAGGCACCGTGCCCGGCCCTAATTTCTTAATACAGTATGAAATAATTATGAACATGCCTCTTACTTCTCAGAATGTCCTAACAGCATTCCAGAGGAAACAGAAGATCATGAAATGTTGAAAAAGAAAAGAAACCTGTAAGGCCAGGCATGGTGGCTCAAGCCTGTAATCCCAGCACTTTGGGAGGCCGATGCAGGTGGATCACGAGATCAAGACATCCAGACCATCCTGGTCAACAGGGTGAAACCCCATCTCTACTAAAAATACAAAAAATTAGCTGGGCATGGTGGCGCGTGCCTGTAATCCCAGCTACTCAGGAGGCTGAGGCAGGAGAATTGCCTGAACCCAGGAGGAGGAGGTTGCAGTGAGCTGAGATTGTGCCATTGCACTCCAGCCTGGGTAACAAGAGCGAAATTGTCTCAAAAAAAAAAAAAAAACAAAAAAAAACAGAGCCGTTTGGTTGAACCTACGGTACACACATACACAGCACATACATAAATACATATTAAAGATTAGTATTTGTTACTATAGACTACTTATTTATATTAAAAATAGATTATTGGTGTGGTGGAGGGGGAAGCTGGGGTCCAGGAGGCAGAGTCCGAGGTCTGCCCACCTCTCACCCTGCCTTTAAAAAACAAACAAACAGATTCATGTGCAAAAGGTTTAAATTTGCTTTTCCTTTCTTGTTTTTTTTTCCCCCTTTCTTGTTTAAAGGTTTTCACATCCAAGCTCAACTGGTGATAATGATTTAAAAGTGAAACTAAAATGGTGAGAGAAGTAAGATTAAAAAGGGAACTTTTTTGTTAATATTTCCCTGGAAATACCAAATGTAGCAAATGCAGATATATTTTGAAAACTGCTGTAAAGGGCTTATGAATTACTCTCCTTTCCTAAGCTAATAATATTGTCAAAATTTAACAATAGTAACATGTTAGTAATTAATATTTCATATTAGGAAATATTACAACATTTGAATTAAGTAGTTTTCATAGTCAATCTGAGAATGTAAATTTAACACAGATTTCTAGAGGCAGAAACTTATGTGGGTGAATGTGATTTCAAAGAGAATCAGCAGGAATAAAATTTCTCTGCACAGTAAAATCTCCCTGATTTGGATTGGATTGACATTTAGCGAAAAGAATTGGTTGCCTGTTCTTAAAGAGTGTTCAGTAGAAAGTAGAATAGTGTATGAGAATAGTATACAGTACTATTATTTTTTCATGGTAACCAGATCAACAAAGCCTGGCCTCCTACTGGCCCTGCTTTCATAGGGAGAAATAGTGTGTAATTAGTTTATTGAACACGTGTCTCCAAGACAGGCATGTCCGCGAATTAGGGTCTGAAACCAATTGGTTAGAAATTTTAAAACTGTTTCTATTTACTATTATTTGCTTAGAAATTTCTTTAGTACCACTATAGACTTTGTTTTGTTGGTAGAGATAGGGGTCTAGTTCTGTTGCCTAGGCTGATCTCAAAGTCCAGGACTCAAGCAATCCTTCCACCTCTACCTACCAAATTGATGGGATTACCAGCATGAGTCACGAAGCCAGACCTAGACTTTGTATTCAGAGTCAAAAGAAGTTTATTGAGGTTTATTAGGAACTGTACAGTATAATATGTACTACCTCTCAAGCAGGTATCTATGCTTGGTTCACAGTAATTTTCTTTTATTTTTTTCTCCCACCCTGACCCACAGTAATTTTCATAGCTTCTTAACAGAAGAAAGTCAACTTAGTGAGGCTTAACAGAATTGATATTCTATCTTTTAGGGACTATATAATTTTTTTTTTTTTTTTTTTTTTGAGACAGAGTCTCACTCTGTCCTCCAGGCTGGAGTGCAGAGGCACGATCTCAGCTCTCTCTGCAACTCCACCTCCCGGGTTCAAGCAATTCTCCTGCCTCAGCCTCCCGAATAGCTGGGACTACAGGCACACACCACAGCGACCAGCTTATTTTTTGTATTTTAGTAGAGATGGGTTTTACCGTGTTGCCCAGGTGAGTCTCGAACTACTGAGCTCATGAAATCTGCCCGCCTCGGCCTCCCAAAGTGTTGGGTTACGGGTGAGAGCCACCGCACCTGGCCCCTATATAATTTTTATAATTATTTTTTATTTTATTTTATTTTTGAGGCAGAGTTTCCCTCTTGTTACCCAGGCTGGAGTGCAATGGCGAGATCTCCGCTCACCACAACCTCCACCTCATGGGTTCAGGCAATTCTCCTGCCTCAGCCTCCCAGGTAGCTGTGATTACAGGCGTGCACCACCATGCCCAGCTAATTTTTGTATTTTTAGTAGAGACGGGGTTTCACCATGTTGACCAGGATGATCTCGATCTCTTGACCTCGTGATCCACCCGCCTTGGCCTCCCAAAGTGCTGGGATTATAGGCGTGAGCCACCGCGCCCGGCATAATTTTTATAATTATTGTTTAATTCTTTTGAGAAGAAACTATAGATCTTTATATTGTTTCTTTTGAGAAGAACCCAGTAGATAAAAACAAAAATCACTAAGACTTAGGAGAACACATATACTCTACAGAGCTTCTATTTTCTTCCTAGAGATGTTCCTGAGACAGATGCATTCTCTCCATAACGTCATCAATTTAAAAAGTATGCATACAAGTATGCATACAATCATAGCACGACCTGGAGAGAATCCTTGTTTTATTCACCAACTAAGCCTCCTTTCCCTGTAGTCTACATTCCACACCTATACACACCAAATGAAGTTGCAGAAGATGAAAAAGATAAAAATGCAAATACATAAAGATGTCCTTTTTTTATGTATAACATTTCCAACTTTTGCATATTCCAATAATTTACGATGTAATGTCTATATTTCTAGCAAAAAAGAACTGAAATCTGTATTTGTAGTTGGTGTCTGGAGCAATTCTAATGTAAAGAAGTTTGGCATTTATTTGGTACTTTTTTTTTTTTTTTTTTTTTGAGACGGAGTTTCGCTGTTGTTACCCAGACTGGAGTGCAATGGTGCAATCTTGGGTCACTGCAACCTCCGCCTTCTGGGTTCAAGCAATTCTCCTGCCTCAGCCTCCTGAGTAGCTGGGACTACAGGCGCTCACCACCAGGCCCAGCTAATTTTTGTATTTTTAGTAGAGACAGGTTTCACCTTGTTGACCAGGATGGTCTCGATCTCTTGACCTCGTGATCCACCCGCCTCAGCCTATTTCGTACTATTGAGTGGCTGAGCAGCAAGGCTGCTATTTCCACTGCGTGGAGATATTCAAAAATGATTTAGGGGCTTGGGCCCAGTGATCACACCTGTAATTCCAGCACTTTGGGAGGCCGAGGTGGGTGGATCACGAGGTTAGAAGTTCAAGACCAGCCTGGCCAACATGGCGAAACCCCGACTCTACTAAAAATACAAAATTAGCCGGGCGTGGTGGTGCATGCCTGTAATCCCAGCTATTCGGGAGGCTGAGACAGAATGGCTTGAACTCGGGAGGCGGAGGCTGCAGTGAGCTGAGATGGTGCCATTGCACTCCGGCCTGGGCAACGAGAGCAAGACTCTATAAAAAAAGAAAGAAAAAAAGAAGATTTAGGAGTCACAACAATAATCCTCAGGAACTGAGTATTAGTGGATCATGTGTGTTACAATACAAAGCAGAAAACATTAGAAAAGAAGAACAAATCTATTACTTTGGGTTTCAGATGCAAATAATTTCCAAATTGCCACTGGCCAAAATGCTTTAAACATTCAGGGTTTTGTCACAGTTTCAATATAACCGGGAAGAGGGGGAACCCCACAGCTCTATTCCTTTGTCTTTCAGACTCCAAGAACTCAGATCGTGGTGGGGACAAACTGGTGACTGGTTCGGAAGAAGCTGGAGGGGGGCGTGCAGGGCAGGAGACTTTGCAAGTCTCTGGGGGCGTCATCCTTCCTAAGGTCTACGGTGTAAAAACCACCACTCAGAATGGCGGGGTTCATGGACTTTTCACCATGGCCAAACTTTTGATTACCTCTGATGAGACCCAAAGATCACAGAGTAGCAGACTAGGCCAGGTCCCGCAGCAGAAAGGCGCGACGGCTGCAACATCAGTGGTTAAATTGTACAGCCTTTCATAGGTCGGTCTAACGCATCTGTACGAAGGTTACTAAGGATGAGGGCCCCTAAACTGGAGAAAACGAAAAGGCGGCAGGGGGTAGGGAGAAGGGAAGGAAGACAAGGAGGGTGTAGAAAAGGGGGAGGGGAGGGGGCGGGACACCACGGGAAAGGCCTTAGGTTTACTGACGAGATAGTGGCGTTCCCATAGAAACGTATCCCTCCGCCCGTGACTGGCGGGTTAGTCTCTTCAGTTCCTTCCGCGTCGCTTCTCGGCTGTTTCCGCCCAGCTCCTTTGTGCCGCGCAGAACAACGAGATGACGCATGCGCAAAACCCAGCCGCCGCATATATAAAAGCGAACCCGGGCTCTTCCTCGTAGTGCCGTCGGGACCGTTGCAGGGCGAGAGTTTGTGTCCGCTTTTACGTCGCTCGAGCCCTGGGCGCTGCGAGCTAGAACCGAGCACGCGGGTCGGTCATCATGTCGCGTTACGGGCGGTACGGAGGAGGTAAGAGGCTGGGGTCCTGTGAGAGACGTTGGTGTGGTGTAGTGAGCACTGCGAGGCCGTAGGGTTGGCGCGGCGGTTGGGAGACGGTTATTCCGCGTGCGTAATGGCGGCTTCGGCGCACGCCATACGAAGCCAGAGGCAGCGGGGGCGGGGTGGTGAAGGGAGACAGGGGATGGCGGGTGTACAGCTCTGCCGAGTTTCGTACTTTTGGGCGTTTTTGTGGCCCAATCCAGCCTGAAGCAGGGTTGAGATCACGGTTTTCGCGTTGCCCTTCTCGGAGCCGCCCGCCGGTCCCCTCCCCCCGCCCTCGGCGGCGGCTGCCATTTTGCGCACATTGACGACCGTGGTGGCGCATTTCCTCAGCGCTTTCCCGCCACTTCGGCGGACAGATCTGGCCGCAGCCGTAACTAAGATCGTGGTTGTGTTTGAGACGGAAAGAAATTGGCAGCTGTGAGCTGCGTGTTGTAGTCAAACGGTTAAATTGCGGAATGGGAAAGGGAACATAATCTTTGCAACTGGCGGCTCGCTTTTTTTTTTTTTCCTCTTTTAGTTCTTTCGAGCGCGGTTTATGGCTTTGGGGCGGAGAGCTGGAGTCTTGGGCGAGCCTGTACCTGGGGCGGTTGCCGTGGAGGTCGAGAGCCTGGGCAGCTCTCCCTGCCCGGCCCTTACCCGGGCCCGCCAGCCGCTGCCGCCGCCGCCGCCGCGGGCCCGCGCGCTCCTAGCGCGCACGGGGCTGCCGGGACTCACGGGCGGGGCGGGGCGGGGCCGGGCCGGGTACCGCCCCGCGCCTCGTTGTATACTACCGCGTATCTCTGTTGGGGACGGTCACTCCTTAGTAGAACGTTAAGAACTTTGTTAAAAATCTAGGATTTCAAGGTTTTAGGACTAAGTTCAGTCTTTAACTGAGTGCATTAAATGTGCTTTACCCAATATTTGAGGATGGCTCATTTTAAGGCAAATAATTCATTGAAACTTGGGCCAGATTTTGCATAACGTGCATTCTTCTATTTGCGTTTTTAAACAGAAACCAAGGTGTATGTTGGTAACCTGGGAACTGGTGCTGGCAAAGGAGAGTTAGAAAGGGCTTTCAGTTATTACGGTCCTTTAAGAACTGTATGGATTGCGAGAAATCCTCCAGGATTTGCCTTTGTGGAATTCGAAGATCCTAGAGATGCAGAAGATGCAGTACGAGGACTGGATGGAAAGTAAGAAAGATGTTATGAAATTCATGTGCATTAAAATATATTGTGGGCTAGATAATGAACTGAGTGCTAAGCTTGGATTCTGAAATCTGGAGGAGACCTTAAATAGCTTATTGTAATGTTACTTGCTAAAGACACAAGAAGGTTGAAGATGGAGATGGAGTTAGGGCTTAGTAAAGACTGCCAAAGTTTGTGAGGGGGAAAGAGTGGTTGGAAAGAGTTCTTTTAAATCCAGAAGTCCTGAATATATTTTTAACTGTAGAATTTTGTTACTTGACTTTTATTAGAGTGATTTGTGGCTCCCGAGTGAGGGTTGAACTATCAACAGGCATGCCTCGGAGATCACGTTTTGATAGACCACCTGCCCGACGTCCCTTTGATCCAAATGATAGATGCTATGAGTGTGGCGAAAAGGGACATTATGCTTATGATTGTCATCGTTACAGCCGGCGAAGAAGAAGCAGGTATTTATTTTAATAAAGGAATGGTTGGTATTCTAGTTAATCAAGTAATTTTTTTATTAGCAAGGCAGAAAACTAGTGTTTTTCTATAAACTTGAATGTTAATTGTACAGGTGTATTTTTACAATTTTTGTTTAATTAAAAAAATGTTACTATATTAATAATCAACCTGGTCAAAACCTTTCAGGTTTCTTCGTTTGAGTCAGTCGCCTTGATTCAGAATGTCACGAGCCTTATGATATGCTGAGGCGCCTTGCAAATCCGACAATTAAGATCCTCCTAGACCTTGAGGTGATCAGCATAAGAGGCCAGATCCCCTCGAGTCATCTACACCTAGCTTCACCTTATTCTTTAAAGGGCAGAAAATTTGAGACGGTGATCGCCGTAACAGTAAATTTGGCTTACAATTGGGGGCCCCCCTCCGGTTTAGAAAGAGGAACACCAGATTGACCACATTCCCAACTAGAAAAATCTTCTTGCGTCAATCAAGCCTCACCTGGCTCATTTGGCTGTCAGTTTGATCGTCGTTAGATTGAAGAAAACATCTAGATGCAGCGATCGGCTATAGATACTTCTAGATCGTCTAGATCTACTAGACCATGGGCCAAAGAGGGTCGACCTGCAAACTTGCAAGGTTTATTTTAAATACACATTATAGTGTTTTATATTATGTAATTCTAAGTTGTAATTCAGCTTTTAACAAATCTTTTTTTAGGTAGTTAAAAAAAAAAAAACTCGACAACTAATAGGCCCAGAGTTTATTTCCAAATGAGACACTAAATTTAAATAGTTTTGAGATTTGATTTCAGCAGAGGCACACACACTCTTAAAAATGAGTTATTGTCTGACATTTTGTTTTTTCTCTAACTTGAAAAATAGGTCACGGTCTAGATCACATTCTCGATCCAGAGGAAGGCGATACTCTCGCTCACGCAGCAGGAGCAGGGGACGGAGGTGAGATCTTGTTTAATTCAAGACTTAATGTACTATTTTTAAATTCACTGATAGTCCAACACAGAAAAAACTCATTTTTTTGGAAACTTTCTCAGTCAACTGTACTTCTCTAGAGTACAGTGGCATAACCATGACTCACTGCAGCCTTGCCCTCTTGGGCTTAAGCAGTCCTCCTGCCTCAGCCTCCTGAGTAGGTGGGACTGTAGGCACTGTCGCCATACCCAGCTAATTGTATTTTTGTAGAAATGGGCTTGCACTGTTTCCCTGGCTGGTCTTAAGCTCCTGGGCTCAAATGATCCTCCCAAAGTGCTGGGATTATAAGCATGAACCCTGCACCATTCCCTAATTGAAGTCTTAACAGGCAAAAAAAAAACCCAAAAAACTGTTCTTTAATTTTTAGGTCAAGGTCAGCATCTCCTCGACGATCAAGATCTATCTCTCTTCGTAGATCAAGATCAGCTTCCCTCAGAAGATCTAGATCTGGTTCTATAAAAGGATCGAGGTATTTCCAGTATGTAACACTTTTTTCTTGTTTGTGTTTGGATTGTTCACATTTTAACAGCAGTAGAGTGTCTTAAGGACATAATTCATATGGATTGCTTCAGGGAATATTGAGATGTAAAAGTTAAAGAACCAAGATTAAAATTTATGTTACGTGCAACTTATACCATAAATTTTAATCTAGGTGTTTTTTTTTTTGGGAGACAGTCTCACTCTGTCACCAGGCTGAAGTGCAGTGGCATGATAATTGCAACCTTTGCCTCCCAGGTTCCAGCGATTCTCCTCCCTCAGCTTCCTGAGTAGCTGGGATTACAGGCATGGGCCACCATGCCCAGTGAGTTTTTGTGTTTATAGTCAAAACAGGGTTTCACCATGTTGGCCAGGATGGTCTTGATTTCTTCACCTTGTGATCCATCTGCCTCGGCCTCCCAAAGTGCTGGGATTACAGGCATTAGCCATCATGCCTGGCATTAATCTAGTTTTACAGGTGAAAAAAAGGGCTACTAGAGATTTTAAGGCTTGTTAGAGGCCACGGTGGTAGAGAAGGGTCTAATGCAACACAATCCAGTGAAGACTATGGATGAGCATGTTGCTGTAAACATTTCTGGCTTCCGCCGGGCGTGGTGGCTTATGCCTGTAATCCCAGCACTTTGGGAGGCCTAGGTGGGCAGATCACAAGATCAAGAGATCGAGACCATCCTGGCCAACATGGTGAAACCCTGTCTCCACTAAAAATACAAAAATATTTGCCAGGTGTGGTGGCACGTGCCTGTGGTCCTAGCTACTTAGGAGGCTGAGGCAGAAGAATTGCTTGAACCCGGGAGGCAGAGGTTGTGGTGAGCTGAGAGTGTGCCACTGCATTCCAGCCTGGAGACAGAGCAAGACTCTGTCTCAAAAAAAAAAAAAAAATTCTGGCTTCAGATTATATGATACTAGTTCTGAAAGGCAGTAATTGATTTTCCTGACTAAAAGGCCCATTAGAATCAGGAAAAGAGAGTAGAAGCAAGTAGAAAACATTGCTCATTTTTGGAATGATGGGGTTGATTTGAGACACTGGAAAGTTGACTGGGGCAGTAGTGTGTACGTACAGATGAATGTGGGTTTTGTTTATATGGTTTCAGACCTGAAAAAGCTAAGAACCAGAGCTTTACTCTTTGTAGAAGGTCTTAAAAGGAGATAGAATGAAGAAAATTGTAAAATCAGTATTGCAATATGTAGTGGTACAGAATGCTGCTGGGAGTTAATTGCTGTTTAATAGCACAAAACCTTTAAATGCAGGAATTCTGAATCTTGTGGTCTACTTGAGAAAGCTGTGGACCATCTCTTTAAAGTGTTTAATTTGATTCCAGGACCTCAAAATCTTAAAAAAAAAGTCAGTCTGATTTGGTTTGTCTGGCAAATTGATGGCTCTCAAACATTTGATGATCCAAGATTAAAGCCTTACTAAGTGGTGGATTTTTTTTTTAATCTAGCCTTAATCATCTGAATTAGTCTCAGAAACTAACCAATTGAGTGATAGAAACAAGTAACTGAAATGGTGTTTCCTTATATTTGATAACCGGTTTTTTGTTTTTTTTTAAAGTGTTAGAATAAGGCAAGTGTTGCATTTTCCTAAGGTTTAGCTCCTCTACACCTAACCTAATACAGTGTTTTGTAGTTCAAGGAAATTCCTGTGAACTAATTGGAATAATTGTGTTTTTCACTTAGATCCCCGTCGAGGTCAAGATCAAGATCCAGGTCCATTTCACGACCAAGAAGCAGGTAGGGTAAAAATCTGATTATGTTCTTGTTTGTTATATGGCACCAATATCCAAAGAGTTCAAAGTGTTTTTAATTGTTGAAATTTTAAGTGATAGCTGTAAACTTAAGTGGAAACACAGTACCTTATATGTGTATGTCCTACTTAATACTGGTTGACTTTCCCTGAACAAGGGAATGTAAAACTGTAGTGAGAAATAAGTTTGTGACTTGGGGGATTATGTTAAAGAGGCCCTTGTTAGAACTGATAGCTGCATGGAGAAGCATCCTGAAATTAATGTGCTCAAAGCAGAATGCAAAAGATTAATCATGATAAAATACAGTAATTCACTCATTTTTTTGAAAAACAGTTGTTGGAAGATTGGCCTTTGTAGCAACAACTGGTAGGATGTTCTTCAGTTGAAGTGCAGTGTGACATTTTAAGCTTAGCACATTTGGGGGTTTGTTTTATGGTATTGTGACTACAAGAAAGGGATTGGTTAGTACTCTTTCTTAATAGAATTTCTCATGTTTTGACAGCCGATCAAAGTCCAGATCTCCATCTCCAAAAAGAAGGTAAGCTAAATGTTTTGTTGCCAAATCTTGCCTGTCAAGTGTGGCCTCTGCAGAATTTGTTTGCTTATTGCTTTGCAGTCTTTGAGCTCTTTGGAGAATTGGTGCTATATAGATTAAAATACTATGCTAAGTTTCTGAACTGATTGCTTTTCTTGATTCATAAAATGTTAGGGTGATTATTAAGATGATTGGTCCTGTGAGTACTTGGTAGAAATTTTGATCAGAAACATGCTTTTCCCCCACATGTACAATAGCTACAAAGTGAGGAGAGAAGTCTTGGAAATATCTATCTGACTAGTGCTACTTAATGACCAGAAAACTTCAGATACTTGTCATATTTAACAGCAGGTTGACCTGGCAGTTTTGACAAGGATAGACTAATTTTCTTTCCTTCTTTGCTTTTTCTTTTTCTTTTCCTTTTTTTTTTTTTTTTTGAGGGGGTTTTGCTCTGTCACCCAGGTGGAGTGCAGTGGTAGAATCTTGGCTTACTAGTTCAAGTGATACTCCTGCCTCAACCTCTTGAGTAGCTGGGATTATGGGCCCAACACCATGCCTGGCTCATTTATTTTTTGAGACAGTCTCGCTCTGTTGCCCAGCCTGGAGTGCTGGCATGGTCTCAGCTTCCTGCAGCCTCTGCCTCTTGGGTTCAAGTGATTATCCTGCCTCAGCCTCCCGAGTAGCTGGGATTGTAGGCACCTGCCACACACCCAGCTAACTTTTTGTATTTTTATTAGAGACTGAGTTGCACTATGTTGCTTAGGCTAGTCTCGATCTCTTGACCTCAGGTGATCACCTGCCTCAGCCTCCAAAAGTGTTGGGATTACAGATGTGAGCCACCACACCTGGCCAGGGTAGCCTAATCTTAAGCCAGGGACAAAAGATAAATATGTAAGTTTCATGTCATTTTTAGGTCTTTGGTATAGGAAATCAGTACCGTAGGCCACCTTTGAATTTATTGAAAGTTAGTACGTGTACATGAGAATTTCAATCAACACTAATTGGATCCAAACCTAATGTTTTTCTTTTTAGTCGTTCCCCATCAGGAAGTCCTCGCAGAAGTGCAAGTCCTGAAAGAATGGACTGAAGCTCTCAAGTTCACCCTTTAGGGAAAAGTTATTTTGTTTACATTATTATAAGGGATTTGTGATGTCTGTAAAGTGTAACCTAGGAAAGATAATTCAACCATCTAATCAAAACGGATCTGGATTACTACTACTCTGTAAATTCACAACAGTAAGATAATATAAATTTTTGTTGAATGTATTAACATCCTATGGTCTGAAAATGTGGGTTTTTATTTGGCACATTTAAATAAAATGTTTCTAACTAGATTTTTGATTTGTGTTCAATATTAACACTTTTCAATTTGGTAAATTTCAGTCATACGTCATAATTGTTAACCGTATTCATACCAGACCTACATTCAGAATTGAAAGATGTTGGTTAAGTCTTGAACATCACTAATTGTTCTATACATAAAACTTCACCAGGATCTTAAGGGACTTTGAAAATTCCATTTTACCCTTGTAGCTTTGAGTAAGATGACCTTGTTGAGTCCCCTATGATACAGCATGAATACATCATGACAGATCCCTAAGTTAGCTAATCTATTTGAAGTTGGTGTTAGTAGGTATTGTCAAACTAATGATCACGTGGTCAAGCTAGTGGGACCCCTGATTTGTCTATAAATGAGCATGACAGGCACTAAGCAAAACTGAATAACTGTATGAGAAATACGGAGAAACTGATTTCTGGATGACCTTTATACTGATTGCAGCTTTCAGGCTACTACTAGGTGGCATAGTGTCAATTAGAACTTTCAAGATGTGGGGAGTTCTTCTTGATGGTCTTTTGTTTCTTTGCTTTCTACGTTAGTTAACCAGTTTTATACCAAAAAATGCATGTTTGAGGAATTGTCTGAATTTGGGACAATAACACCTTTATGTAAACCAGCTTTGCAAAATTTTCCAGCCCAGATACTCTTCCTGTATTCAAATGGATTGTCTTATTCTGAGCAATGTCTTATTCTGTTAATCTTCAAGCTAGGTTTTGCAGTTCCCAACCACTAACATTCTTCTATTTTGCCAGGCTGGTGCAAAGTAATTAAAGATGTCAATCGGAAATGTTAATAAGACTAAAGTGGTTTTGTAAATCTCACCTATATTTAGCAACACTCCATGTAGCTAACTTTTTTTGGTAGCATCTAGTAGACCTTAGAATGTTACAGCCAGTAGGTTCTTTATTCAAATTTTAAATATCCTAAGAATAGTAGGGCGGTAACAGTTAAGAGAGTTTTCTGGTCAAGCTTTTACCAGGCATTGTCTAGCCTTGGTACAAAAAGAAAACCTGCTGGTGGCACAGATAACTAGCCTTGTCCATTATATGCTTTTCAGTCAAGTCATTGGATACCATTGCAACTTGGGAATACTGGTCTGCATCAAGTTTATTTGGTAGTTTGAGTGATTGCTAGTATGTTGGAAGTTATTTGGATTGTTTTTGCAATTTTGACAACTGGCTGAATTATCGTTGGTATAAAGTTATATGTATAATTGGCAGGCTTATTTATCTGTTGCATTTGGGTAGCTTTAATTGTTCTGTATTATATAAAGATAAGTTTACTCAACAATAAATCTGCAGAGATTGAACAAATAATCCTGATACTTAATTTTTGGAAGTGGGAGCTCTCAGCCAAAAGTAGGAGGCATTAATTCTGTAGCTTTAGGTTGGGCAGCTGGCAGCATCCTAGAAATGAGTAATGAAAGGATAAAAAGGGTATGGAGGAGGGGTAGGGGCAAAAATGGTTTTAAACAAGTAAATTCTACCCTTGTGGGGAAAAGGGCTGTCTGAGCCAATACCTCTTTATCACGTGCAACTTGGCACCCCTGCTATTGCTAGATGCATCTCAAAATAAGCTTTGGTGCTTCCCCCACTTGTTTTCTGTGATTGGAACTGCCAAATTGGTTGTTACCAATTTGAAAAGTGCTGGCCCAGACTCATTCCTTCTAAAATCAGTCACTTAATTTTTGAATGTTTTTGGCCAGGGGTGGTGGCTCACGCCTGTAATACCTGCACTTTGGGAGGCCGAGGTGGGTGGATCATCAGGTCAACACTCGTCTTGACTCCCATCTCTACTACAGATAACAAAAATTAGTTGGGTGTGGTGGCAAGTGCCTATAATATCTCGGCTACTAGGGAGGCTAAAAGCAGGAGAATAGCTTGAACCTGGGAGGTGGAAGTTGCAGTGAGCTGAGATCATACCACTGCACTCCAGCATGGGTGACAGAGTGAGACCCTGTCTAAAGAAAGAAAGATTAGTAGCAGTGAATAACTATATAGTACATCATTGCAGAGGTGATTATGCTTATCTAGATCATACCCAGAAATAAGTCAAAGGTTATGTGCATTGATTTTTGCTAGGTATTGGGTTGCCTTCATGACTGTGTATAAGTACCTGTTGTCTGTATCAATTCCTACATGCCAGGCTATCAAAACTTGATTTTTGCCAATCTCAGGTTGAAAAATGGTCTTTCAGCATAGATTTTTTTTTCTTTAAATGATTGAGTCTTTCTCTATCACCCAGGCTGGAGTGCAGTGGTGTGATCTCAGCTCACTGCAATCTCCGCCTCCTGGGTTCAAGTGATTCTCTTGCTTTTAGCCTCCCTAGTAGCTGAGATATTACAGGCACCTGCCACCACACCTGGCTGATTTTTGTACTTTTAGTAGAGACAGGGTTTTGTCATGTTGGCCAGGCTGGTCCCGAACTCCTGACCTGAATCTCAGGTGCTCTCCCTGCCTCAGCCTCCCAAAGTGCTGGGATTACTGTCATGAGCCACTGTGCCTGGCCTCAGCATGGATTTTTTATTTTTTGAGATGGGGTTTCACTCTTGGCACCCAGGCTGGAGTACAATGTTGCAATCTCAGCTCACTGCAACCTCTGCCTCTCAAGTTCAAGCAATTCTGCCTCAGCCTCCTGAGTAGCTGGGATTATAGATGCCCACCACCACACCTGGCTAATTTTTGTATTTTTAGTAGAGATGAGGTTTCGCTATGTTAGGCATGCTTGTCTTAAACTCCTGACCTCAGGTGATCCACCTGCCTCGGCCTTCCAAAGTGCTGGGGTTACAGGTGTGAGCCACTGCGCCCTACTATTTTGAGAGTTTCTCACTCTTGTGGGCTGGGCTTGAGTGATTCTCCCACCTCAGTCTCCTGAGTCGCTGGGACTACAGGCAGGCACCAGTATGCCTCGCTCATTTTTAAATTTTTTCGTAGAGATCTCATGTTGCCCAGGCTGCTTTTGAACTCCTGGGCTTAAATGTTTCTCACATTTTGGCCTCCCAAAGTGCTGGGGTTATAGGCATGAACCATCATGCCTGGCCAGGTTTTACATTTTGAAGTGGTTGGAAAAAAAAAAATCGTAGCAATCTATGACATGTAAAATGTGTGAAATTCAAATTGTAGTGTCCATAGAAGTTTTATGGAAACAGTCATGACTTGTTTACTTATTATCTGTGGTAAGTAAACTGCTTTGTGCTACAGTAGTGGAGTTAATTGTGACAGAGTATCCCACAAAGCCTAAAACCTACCCTCTTCATTTTACAGAAAATGTTTGCCAGTCCCTGGTTTAGACATTTGTCTTCAACTTCACAACTTTCAGAACAATTATCTCTGGAGATCTTGGGTACCAAGATTATTTGTAGGGTTGCCAGGGCCTTAAGATAGACTTTTGGTCTGGGAAGAGCTACTTCTCCAGGAGTCATTCCTTGAAGTGATTTGAGAAGCTGGGGGCAAATTCTAGCTAAACATAATGCACTTAACATAAAATTGGTGAGTGAGAGCATAGTAGGGAAGGCTTTTACTCTACTACAGTGGTTTTGATTGCTAGTTGCAGATTAGAATCACCCAGGGTGCTTAAAAACATTTGAAAGAATCACTGAGGTGAAGCCTGGGTATTACTCTAAACATTTCCCCTGGTGATTTTTTTTTCTTTCTTTTCTGAGACTGCATCTCCGTCACCAGGCTGGAATGCAGTGGCATGATCACTGCCTTGAACTCCCTGGGCTCAAGTGATCCTCCTTGGTAGCTCGGACTACAGGCACGTACCATGAAGCCCAGCTAATTTTTGTATTCTTTTTTTAAAGATGGGGTTTCGCCATATTGTTTGGGCGGGTCTTGGACTCCTGGGCTCAAGCATTCCACCTGCCTTTGCCTCCCAAAGTGCTAAGTTTATAGGTGTGAGCCACAGTACGTCGGCTCTCCCCTGGTTCTTCCAATATGCAACCAGGATTGAAAATCACTGCTCTGTACTCTGTTCACTAGTTATTGGAAGATTGGTTTATTCTATTATAATAAGGAAGTAGTAGCACTCATGTGAATCTAAGGGGGATTCTACTATGTGTCCTTCTCTAGATTTCGCTGATTGTCTCTTAAACAAATGATCCCATGTTGGAAAGGAAACGGGGGGGAAAAACCGCAGAAATTGCATTTTAATTTATATTAGTACCAGTAGAGGTCACTGTGCTCAAGGAAATAATCTTTAAAAACGTTAACATTCTATTCAGGGATTTTGAAGTATTTACCAGAGCTCTTGGGTTATGCCAAGCATTAGGGTAACTCCAGTTATGGCCTCTGACTACAATGATTGCTTCAGAGCATCTGAGGCTCTTATTATTATATGCAAACATAAAAGTATAATTGTTATATCTTGCTGATGTGTTGACTTTTATCATTATGAAGGATCTTTGTCTCTAGCAATTTTTATTGTCCTAATGTCTATTTTGTCTTACATGGATATAGCCACTCCAGCTTTCTTATGGTTACCATTTGCATGGTATTTTTTTTCCATTGATTTACTTTCAATTTATTTGTGTCATGGAATCTAAGACACACTTATATGCTCTGTAGATAGCATGCTGCTTTCTTTTTTTGACAGGGTCTTCCTCTGTTGCCCAGGCTGCTGGAGTGCATGATGCAGTCGTAGCTCACTGCAGCCTGGAACTCCTGGACTTAAATGGTCCTCCTGCCGCAGTCTCTCAAGTTGTTGGGACCACAGGCGTGAGCCACTGCACCTGGCTAGATCTTATCTTTTCTGATAAACCATCTTTTGGAGTATTAGTTATTCATTGATTTTGTTTTAACTTTGAGTGTTTAAACCATCCACAGTGGTTGGGATTATTGATATGGTTGGGTTTACATTTGCCATTTGTTTTGTTTTTTTTCTTTTTTTGAAATAGTCTTGCTCTGTCTCCAGGCTGGAGTGCAAGTGGCGCAATCTCAGCTCACTGCAACCTCTGCCTCCTGGGCTCAAGTGATTCTCCTGCCTCAGCCTCCTGAG